AAAAATAACCTAAGAAACGAAAGTGTTCGTACTTGTTAGGGACTTTCAATTATAAGGTGTTTTCAATTGTTGTACAGGCTGGATAAAGCCATTGGCGCGATTCAGATTTTGTGTTCAGGCTCTGTAACCCATCAACAGAAGCAATGCTTAACGCAAACCCATTTATTTTGTTAGTATCATATGCAACAATGCTAAAAACGCAGAAAATAAGTACCGAATAATAATGGGAAATATTGAGAAGTAAAGCGGCCGAGGCGTGAAGCTGACCACTCACCTCCAGCTAGTGCCGAGGTCAAGAAACTGTGGATCTAAACATCCACTCCCCCATACGCCTTCATGGAGTAGTGCTAATTAGTTAAGCACAGGGACAACTTTACCTTTACCGAAACATATAATTTGGGATTCTCGAAACTGTGGCTATGAAGACGTACCTTCCTTGGGTTTCCACCTGCTACTTGGACGTTTATTGCTTGGCTCACTTTTGACTCTGAAGATGATGATAATATGTCTGTCTGGTTTTTCCGTATTTGTGTTGTCCTGTGTAGATAGTGGCCTTACGACGGGCTGATTCTCCGTCTAAGGAGTTATACTATCCGTCTTTAAAATTCATAATTTCTTAAATAATTCTGAAAGGGAAGGTCACGGAGCTTAATCTGTCAAGGCAGAAGAAGATGGAGACAGAAATAAAAATAAATTTCTCCAGTTCTTTTCTTTCTTCTCATATCAAAATATTGTCCTCGTCACCATGTTTTCATTCATTATTTATCTGTGCTCCTGAGAGTGGCAATGAAGTTTCATACGCAAAAAAACAACGTAATTCTTGTTTTAGATAACACAGTTCCTAGTAATATGCATAAAAATACGCAACAACATTTCCACAATTTTTATTAACTATTGTCTGCTGAGAACTTTGATACAGAACACGTCAAACTCGGTGAATACACCGTATTTTTAGCAAAGTTAACAATCAGCAATAATCTTTTGTAATGCAAGCAGTTATTGTGCTGTGCAGTTCATGTGGTTGGAATAGCTAATGGTTCATATTATATTTAATCATCATCTTTATCATTATGATCATTAGTAATATCTTCTTCACGGATTAGGCCCACTTGCTTTTTCCAATTCAGACTTCATTCTGAAACTATGAATCCTTGTTAAGTCTTTGAATGGGGGATCGGCCAGTCGCAAGGCCTTCTACGAGGTTACACGTGAACTTGGTGGACAAACGTATATGCCTTGGGCGGGATTCGAACCTGGAGGCTGTGTAAGTTGGCTCAAGCTGTAAAGCTTCCGACATGTATTCTGGAGGTGCCCGATTCGAATCTCGACTAAGATATGGACTCTACTGAGATTTTTCATTCCCTATATAAAATTTCCGGAATAGTAAGTTAGATTAGCCCAGGACAGCTTCCTCCCACATCCTTTCAATCTTTATTCACTACCATCCAATCGTTCCATGCTATAGTATTTAGTCCTTACATGAGCTACAGTACAAACAAGTATCGAACCGACGGTCATATTGTTCGATAACTCCAGCACCTGTATGAACCTGAGATCATGCTCTCGCTTGTTAACCGAATCGGTTAGGACCTAGATGGGAAGTATGTCCAGAATCATACAATGTGCAGCAGAAACAAAAACTGCATTTCCAAATTTTGTGGGTCACGTTATTATTACATCTTAAACATTTGAACGCATACCAACATAGGTTTAGCCATCAGTGAAGTAGAACATCCAAATGTCTTCTTACCATCTGCTCGATAATCATTGAAGGCCGCAGTGCGAGGGCCGGATTTTATGGCCCACCCCTTACACACACATACCGTTTACTCAGGGCCGTTACCAAGGACGTATATTTTCAACGAACAAGAAGTCACTACAGAGTCTACATTTCAAGCAAAAACTCATTAATATTTTCATCTGAACCCTCGGTCGTCCAGCCCGTAGCTAGTCACCATACTGGCTGCCAAAATAGCATATTTAGTGCTTGTAATTACTTATGAACCGCCTCTGTGGTCTAGTGGTCAGAGTTCCTGCCTACAGATGCAAAGATCCTGGTTTGATTCTAGGCGCTACCAGATTTCCTGAGAAGCAGTGGGTCTGGAACAGTGCCCACTCAGCCTCGTGAGGATAATTGAGGAATTATTTGAAGGAAATAGCGGCACAGGTCTAGAAAACCGAAATTAAAGACCGTGGGGATTCGTTACGCTGACCACACGACATTTTGTATCCGCTAAAGTTGGCACTAACTTCGCCGACAAGCGGCGGTCGCTCGGTCGGTATAGACTAATACCACAGAGTCTGTTTGAATTATATTTCTGGCTGCTGTTACCAAGAAGGATTGTGTAGTGATAACGCTATAGATTTATATTCGGGAGGTATTCAGTTCGAATCTCGGCTGCGGCACCGGCTATACCGGAAGGTTTTTTGGGGTTCCTCAGTCCCTCCAGGAAATTTACTTGATAACAGTATCATGTCACAATCACTTCCTTTCAAATCCTTCACTAATCACCAGATATCCTACCATTCGACACTGTGTAATCTGAGCTGCCGATCACGGTGGCCGCGCAGTCTGGGGCATGAATTATCTTCGCTCGCTTGAACGCTGGGATCGCAGGTTCGAATCCCCTTTAAAGGCATGGATGTTTGTTTGTTCGTTTATTCTGTGTTTGTGTTGTTCTGTGTGTAGGTAGTGGCCTTGCGAAGGGCTGCTCACTCGTCCAAGGAGTCCTACCGCGTATAAAATATTACGAAACTGAAGAGGTCAGGGTCCAACAAATGGCTGTAGTTCCGTTGATGAATGAATGAAATATTAGATACTGATAACGACGTCAAATAAACCACAAAATAGTTAATATTAATATGTGGAATATAACATTTTTTATATTCTTACATAAAAATTATACTAAATTCGCAATAAAATATCGTAGTCCATGTTATTACTGGCATGTGATGATTTCCATTTTCCACTGTCCTAAGTTGACTTCTATTCCCTTGAGTCTAGTTGCATAATGTTAAATAATGCTTTGTAGTACCGGTCACAGTGCTTCCCCGCCGTATCGGCGCCTATCTGTTCAGTACGGTTGTCCTGCAATGTGGCTGACTAGCACGACATAAGAAGAAACAGGTGGCAACTTCCAAACCAGCGCTTCTATCGCTAAGTTGAAAAATGTAGTATCTCCATGACGTGTCACATTTGTGAACTAAACGGAGAATTCAAGGCTTTGTTACACAGTTTTAAGGATAGTTTTGTGTTCCACTTTGCACAGTACAATTAATTGGCATGTAAACAACACTGAACACATGAACACATAAAGCGGGTGTCCTTTTTTTTTTCTTCCAAATAAGTTATTTAGTTTAAGTAATAAAGATCATATTACAGAAAAACTTGCTCTCCAGACGTGTAGGCAACATTAATAAATACCATCGGCAATTATTTTTTTCTTGCTGGCTTCTTTGTAGCTGTAACAATGTAGACTCTAGTAGTTTATGCATTACGACGCCAATGAAGAACTAAAGAATTATATGTAAAATAAAGGAAAGCCTAATTGTAGTTTAAGGCGCTATTCTGTATCAGCTAATCATGTTATTATTATTATTTTATTGCTAGTGAGGTGGGACTAAGTCCCTTTGTACTGCGGCCACTTCTGGCTTATTGTACCAGCCCCAGATGATAGGTGAGGGTGATTGTGGAGCAATTGGTGAAATGAAGATTGGCAGTGGAAACAGAAGTAGGCGGAGAAAACCTGCCCCAGCGCCACTTTGTCCACCACAAATACCACTTGACCAGACTCGGGATCGAACCCGGGCCAGCGATTAACCGCTTGAGCTATGGCGCGGCCTAGCTAATCATGTTAACTTCATATACTATGTAAACCGTTTGTACCTTCTCACAATACATTTTTGGTTCTGAATAGTGATTCAGTAGGGTCACATTAGAAATGGACGATTAATTTTAATCGAATTGCGTTCTAAGAATCTTCTCTTGAAGTTGTTAGTGTTCTTTTGATCTCGGCTGAAGCACGCCTCTGTTTCATAGTCATCTCTTTCTTTGTCTCTACTGCCCTTTCATGAAAAGTAAAGGCAAGACTGTTTTCGGTCTCAAAAACCACGTTATAGAACGAATGGGAGCGTGGAGGTAAAGTTCCTTGCGCTCTTAGCACAGGTACTAGATGGAGGTGAGTGGTCAGCGTCAAGTTATGGCCGCTTTACCCACCGGTGAAATATTTCCGGTAATGACTGGGTAGGCCCCAAAGCGTGGTGTAAAGAGAAAGCCCGTGCCCGTCTTGAGGCCCGATTCTCAATCGTCCCTCCCCATAACCACTCACTTTGGTGAGCATCAAGAAAACTGCGTTCTAGGTTCAACGATGTACATTCAGATGAACTAACATTTCTCTAAACTCGCGTATTTTTCTCTTGAACTATCGAAATATTGGTGTAACCTTGGTGCATGTATGGCTACCCTAATTTTTGTTCTGTCGTTTTCTTAATTTTCCCACGGCGACTGCTGGGATAATGTAATGAAATATGCCACGACCTGCACCTTTCAAACCATGACATGTCACTCATGATCATATATAATCTCTCGAGGTAACCTTCTTACATAGCCTAAGTATCAATCCATTTATTGGATAATCTAGCATTTAATTTTAATATGCCTTCAATATCGTGAAGAAAGGATGTAGTAAGGTAAAAATAAAATTGTCCCTGTGCCTAACTAATTAAGCACGACGCCATGAAGACGTATTGGGGAGGGGATGTATAGAACTACGTTTGTTTTCCCCAGATAAATTTACAGAAAATATGGACAAGTAATTTGATTAAGGAGTAAATCCCACCTCTATGAGGCATGTTGGTTACATAAAATCGGAATTTAACGTGTTATCGATTATTGATTATCGCTACATGCGCATGTGTGACTGAAGTGACAGTGGCCGTGACGTAGTGACGTGGTTTATAAGCTGAGCAGCGGATGGCTGGTTTGATCAGTTCGGTTGCTAACGCCAGTGGTTCAATGTGGTGGGGGTCCAGTGGTCTACTTTACCGAGCTAGTTAGCCAACTGCTTGCGTCTTATTTACTCAGTGCTCTTCTAGTCAGTCGGCTCTGCTAGTTGCTACTGCGCAGTCAAAGCAGGGCTTGTCGTACATTCCGCAAGTTCGAACTGTTTGCTAAAAACGTGACCATGTCGCCACCGAAGAAAGAAGAATGTATTGAATTCGCCGACGTAGAAACAGACAAGGTTGGTGATACACTATTCTCGCCACCGCCAATGAAGCATTCTCAAACCCGCGACAGTATATCCTCAATTGACAGCGACATTTCGTTAACTTACGATGGGAATGGTGAGCCCACTGCAGTGGCACCCAGTTCTGGGGACGACGAGGGGGCTCATCTGGCGGACCAGTCGGACTGTGGCTCAGATACAGGCTCTACGACGGGTAAAGATTCAGGCTGTGAGGTGACCGACAAACCCCAGGAACCATCCTTTATAGAACCAGATGATGAACTGGCCAACCGGATCGTGACACAGGTGGAATTTTATTTTTCGGACGTGAACATTACAAAGGACGCGTTCCTGCTGAAGCACGTAAAACGCAACAAAGAAGGGTTCGTGTCCCTGAAGCTTATCTCAAGTTTTAAGAGGGTAAAACATCTTGCTAAAGATTGGCGTGTTGTCGCGTATGCTCTCGCCCGATCAACAAAACTTCAGATTAACGAAACGGGCACCAAATTACGGCGATTAGCACCGTTACCACAGTACGACGAAACGACGCCTTCTCGAACTGTAGTAGCCATGCACCTTCCACATGACAAGCCCACAATCGAGAGCGTGGCAGAGCTGTTCTCCTGCTACGGCGAGATTGCCCTGGTTCGTATCTTGCGGCCCGGAAATCCTGTACCTGCAGATGTCCGCAACTTTGTAGCTAAACGTCCCGAGCTGGACGGTGTCGTGTGCGCCCTAGTGGAGTTTGTGCATAAGGAATCTGCTGAAAGGGCGGTACAATCACCAGACAGGGACTGGAAGGGGCATAGTCTGGGCATCAAAGTAGTGGAGCTCAACGTCCCCGAACGCACGAAGAAGAAGTCTCTGCCCAACAAGAAGACGGCGCTCGCCAGGTTTTTCGAGTCGGAGTGCTCTTCGTCCTGCCCCAGTGGGTCCGAGGCAGAGCAGGAAACTCGCCAAAGGTACAGATTGCGCCGCTGCTGCTCCTCCTCCTCCTCTTCGTCCAGTGGGCCTTCCGCCCCCAGCACCACAAGCTCCAGTTGGATGCAGCGCCGCCTTGCCTACAGCAGGGACTCCGGCTCGGAGAGCAGCAGCTCTAGCCTGTACGGTAGGTCGCGGTGCAACAGCGTGGTGTCTGACGCCGGCAGCTGCAGTCCCTATGTCCGTTCTCGCTACAACAGTGGCATGTCGGACAGTCACCGCTCCCGCTGCAACAGTGGCATCTCGGACACTCGTCCCCGAAGTAATAGTGGTGCTTCACATCTACCAGACAATGTTGTTCGGCTGCCACGCGGGCCGGATGGGACTCGCGGTTTCCATTGCGGCTACCGGGAGCAAATCGCGGCCATTCTGGCTGTGGGCTGAGCCCGAGATTCGTTCGTCTGTTTTCAATGTGCATGTCCACTGCTCGTAAAGTTGAACATTTTATACGGCAGATACATGTTTCTATTTATTGGCAGTCTTGCTTTGAATGGTTAATGGAAAAGTGTGAGCCGTCAACATGTAGACATTCTACCAAAGACAATGTAAACTAACGTTAGCTGTCAGTTTATGTTACTTTTGTTACACGTAAATAAATATATCGACGACGAAAAAGAGAAATTAATTCTCATTATTCATGTGATAGGCCTATTACCCTGAAAAGTACCAGTTAATTTTAATAACAAGATTGCCAGCGAATGTTCTAATGTGTTGCACGAGGTTGACGAACTGAAACTTGCAATGAATGCCTTTCACATCGCTAGGTCAACCAGAATCACAAAGGGAAAGTAGTAGAATACTGACCCGATTCTTAGTACAGGATGTTCTTAAAGTAACCTCCGTATAGGCCGTGCCATAGCTCAGGCGGTTAGTCGCCGGCTTTCCACCGCGACGGCCCGGGTCAGGTCAAGTGGGATTTGTGGTGGTTAAAGTGGCACTGTGGCAGGTTTTCTCCGAGTACTTCATTTTCCCTTACCAATTTTAATTCCACTGATTGCTCCACAATCATCATCATCATCTATCATCTGTGACTGGTACAATAGGCCAGACAGTGACCGCAGTACCAAGTGGACTCAGTCTCACTCAATGAAAAAATAATAAAAAAGTAGCCTCGATATAAACTAAAGATTTTATCCCGTAGATTTTATGACGTACAAAATACCATAGAACACGCAGTAATACAGAGCCAGACAGACCTAAATAGTACTAAAGACATCAAATTAGGATTATAAAATGGCTACCAAACAGGATTGACAGGAGGCTGGAGAAAATTGCATAGTGAGGAGCGTCATAATGTGTACTCTTTCCTCAGGTTTTGGTTAAGTGGTTAAATGATGGAGGATGAGGTGGGCGTGACGAGGTATGTAGCAAGCACATCAGAGACGAGAGATGCATACAAAGTTTTATTCTGAAACCCTAAAAGGAAGAGACAAAGAAGACTTTGGCACAGATTGAGGAGCAGGTATATTAAATAAATAGTGCTTGAGAATCTTACTGTATTCATCTGACTTAGGGCGGGGACCAGTGACCGACTCTTCTGAATACGATAATGTACATTGGAGCTCTGCAAAAGGAGAGGAATTTCTTGACCAGATGAGTGACTATTAGCTTCCCAAGCACAACTCTACTGAATAGTTATCTGTACCAAATAAACCGAGAATATCCCTAACACACGAGGTACTACAAAATGCATAACAAAACCTAGAACATTTACTATGACAGCGGGCTTTTTAACACAGAAATAAACGCCCGGCTTCCATAAAAATAGATAATTTCTAGAGATTTCAGATTTTCACGATGGTAAGTATGAAGATTACTGTATTATGGGATGTGACGCCGTGTAGTCTAGTAGAAAGGTACGAAGGCTTCAGAGAGACCAGCTGCCTACATCTGCAGGGTAGAATAACCACGCTGTGAGAACTTCAAAGGTCAACATACAGTAATTTGTGGGGAGCCTACGAAACGGAACACAACTTTTGCCGGACTCGCCTAGTTTCTGGCACTATGGATAGCAAGACGGCGTTCGGAAAATATCCTCTGTAGCATTAAATGTACTTCATTAACACGTGGCTGCATTTGCTTAATTACTTCGTTTTCGTTTTTCAGATTCTTTCACTCTCGTGTACCCTGTCAAGCATCTCTCTAATTCACAGTAAAATCACAATGTAAACTAAACAAGGCCTGGAAAGGCGGTCTCCATTTAGAAGAGTATATATATCAGTTTTCCTTAAACGTAGTTTTCTTTGCACGATACCGTTTGAGCTGCATACAATATAGTGCCGAACGAGATGAAAATGATGAGTAGGTAAGAGTTTATAAGAAGACAATAGGCCTATTAGAAAGTCTTTTCACTGGAACAATAGAATTATAGTATAATTTTATCCTGCATTACAAACTCTGGCTTCCCACCGCGGCGGCCCGGGTTCGACCCCGGGTCTGGTCAAGTGGGATTTGTAGTTGACAAAGTGGCGCTAGGGCAGGTTTTCTCCGAGTACTTCGGTTTCCCCTGCCAATCTTCATTCCACCAAATTCTCCATCATAATCACCCGGGGCAGGTACAATAGGCCAGTCAGTGGCCGACGTGCCGAGTGGACCCAGCTGGACTTCACCCCCCCAGCCCCGCTATGAGAAATGGCTTGAATTCCCGGAATGTGGCCTAATAGGTTTCTATAAAGGCGTATTCTGAACCTAAATGCATCGATATCAGAAGAGATCGATGTTCCTAAATGACAGCTGTCCCATTTACACCATGGGAAAATTATCGACTCTTTTTCAGTTTGGTTATTGACTTATTTCGAATTTTTTTTTCTTTGGCACTACAGCCCCAGTGGGCCTAGGCCTACCTCCATGAACTTCTCCGTTCACTTCGGTTTTTCTAGATCTTACACATTCGGTAGGACTCCTTGGGCGGGTGATCAGCTCGTCTCAAGGCCTCTACCTGTACAGAAACACAGAAAAACGCACAAACTAAACATCCATGCCCTGAGTGGGATTCGAACCCACGATCCAGGTTTCCAAGCGAATGAAGACAGTACATACCTTAGACCGCTTGGCTACCGTGACCGGCATTTCGAATGATTACTGAATAATAAATTGGAAAATATGTGAACGGAAGTGGTCATGGCCTACTTCGAGATACTGTCTCGGCAAATACATGGAGGGACCGATGAAAATCACGAAAATCCTTCATCAGGAGAGTTGGTTGCCGGGTCCACTTGAGACCCAGGATGTCCCGATAAGCAAGCGGGAGTCTCAAACTTGAAATAGTCACGTTTAAGCGTCGAAATGTGGATAAACTGCAAATGTTGTGGAAGGAAGCGACCCCAAGTAAAGCTGCTGCCGCAACGTCTGATAAATTATGGTATAATTATGAGTAGAGGATTGAGTTGGGTGTGGTAATGGAACTGCATAGCAATACAGTAAAGCAGTATCCTGGACTGACTTAAGAAGATTACGAAAATCTTCAGGATTGCGGATTTTCGAGCCGAGAATTTCTTGAAACTAAAGCAGGAGAAAGATGGGGAGTACACAACATGAGAAAGAATGAAACTGAACATGATACTATAGTCGCGGTTCATTAGTGATTCAATTGTTGTTTCTTCCATTTTATCTCACACATTGTGCACAATTATGTCAAATGATTATATAGAATTATATATAGGTAAGAAAAGGAAATAAAATGCTGTAGGTGGCCTTGGTATTTGTTTCGCGGTCTTTCGAAGACTAAGACAGACAGGCTGGCCATGAGCCATGCGATTTGTTGTAAAGATAAGCTACTGATAATGTTATGAATCATATCGCCTTGACGGTAACCTCAAATGATTGTGTAACCGTGAGTAATTCTTGTGTGTGGGACTGCACGTGTGTTTTACCGCTGCCTGGACTGTAAACTGTTTGCTACGACAAATAATTATAACATAAATTTTCCAGTAATTCTCTACAGGTTTCAGAACGATCACAACCCGATGGGCCTCCATGGCCTCTTACAGGGATATCTTTAACTGATACCGATTCATTATATTGTGGCATGTAGACCTGCTGCTAGGCAATGACCGCGAAATGAGCAGCTATATAACGGCCGTCGCTAGGTTGGAAGATGATACTAGGCGACAACTCGTGAAGACACAGCAGACTATGAAGATTTGGTACGTGCTGTAGTCAAAGTCAAAGCCTTATTGCGACTGACGTCGGTCAGTCGGTAAGTTTTGCCCATCTGGGGCTCATGACCAGATATTTAATACTGTTTGACAGTTACGGTCTTGCTTTTGTGGTGCGCCCTATCTGACAAGAGGACGGGTATGTCTTTAGTATATGCTGATGGCCCTCGCCAACATAGTCTTCCTCGTGTCCGAGTCCTTTGGGCCTCGTGATTATATTGTCACTGTAGTGAACTGCAGAATGAGTGAATTAGTCTTAATGCTGTAGTTATTTAGAGTTAAGTTCTGTAAGAGTTCAATAAATCTAATTACTAATCCAAACCTTATCTACAGTCACTCAATCACGTGACAGTATTGTACTGGATATTGCCCCTTATCTGAAGCATATTAGATACACCGACATTTCAGTAGTTATCTCTACTTCCGTCTTCTTGGGATTGCTATTATAATACAGATTTATGGGTCTTACTAATGTTGTTATACTTTAATTTTAAGATTTGTGATCAAATCAAAGGCCCAATAATAAGAACTATATTAGTATTGTTAGCCCAACACCCAAACCCCAAGCTGGAGGACCACCCTTTGTAGGCTGTCTGCGACTGCTTATTCAATATATTCGCAGCTTCCATCCATACCTGGAGGACTTCTCCATCCACAACCTGAGGACGCGCCATGCCGTGGTGACAAGAAACCCACCTAACGTGGTTGTTAAGTCATATATAGATGAAATTATTGGGGATCATCAGTGTGGGTTTTGACGTAACAGATCAACTACAGATCAGATCTTCTGCATTTGTCAGATATTGGAGAAAAAATGGGAGTACAATGAGTCAGTACATCAGCTATTTGTAGACTTTAAGAAAGCTTATGATTCAGTTAGGAGGGAAGTATTGTACAATATTCTGATAGAGTTTGGTTTACCCATGAAACTAGTTAAGCTGATTAAAATGTGTTTAAGAGAAAGTTATAGTAAAGGCGGTATAGGTAAACATTTGTCTGATAAATTTCCTATCCAAAATGGTTTAAGACAAGAGGTGGTTTACTGTTACTCATTTTCAAATTAGAGTATGCATTAGGAAGGTCCAGGAAAACCATGTGGTACTGAAATTAAACGGGACCCATCAGCTGTTGGTCTACGCCGATGATGTGAATCTACTGGGTGATAATGTAGATACCATAAAGAAAAACACACAAACTTTAATTGACACAAGGAAGGAGGTTGGTCTAGAAGTAAACAGAGAAAACTAAGTATTTGTTGCTGTCTCGTCACTAAAATGAAGGGCAAAATCATGACATAAAGATAGGTAACAGATGTTCTGACACTGTGGCACAGTTCAGATATTTGGGAACGACGATAACAAATCAAAACCTGATTGAGGAGAAAATTAAGAGAAGACTGAACTTGGGTAATGCTTGCTACCATTCAGTCAAGAACCTTTTGTCTTCTCATCTGCTGTCAAAAAACATAAAAAATAAGACTATACAAAACTATAGTTTTGCCTGTGGTTCTGTATGGGTGTGAAATGTGGTCTTTGACATTAAGGGAGGAACATAAACTCAGGGTGTTTGAGAACATGGTATTGAGAATATTTTGACCGAAGAGGGTTGAAATGACAGGAGGTTGAAGACAGCTGCATAATAAGGAGCTTCGTAACTTTGTATAATTAGAATGATCAAATCAAGGAGGATGAAGTGGGCAGGGCACGTAGCACGAATCTGGGAGACCAGGAATGCATATAGGATATTGGTGGGAAATCTGTGCAGCCAAGTTCACTTTCATAGCGTTCTGTGCAGTGAGATGCTGTAGTGAAATAATGTTTTGAGAAATGTCTGCTGCACAAATATTTATAGTGCAGCATTCTAGCAGAATCAATGGTGCAGGATATCCCAACTCCTCCTGCCCTTACCACAGCCCCGTAAGAGTACTAGAACTTATTGTCAATATAGAAATAATTTACCAGTAAACATTACAAGAATGGTGCATATGCTACATTATGGGGATAGGTTTATGACATTAATGCAGACATTGGCTAAACTTAATTTCTTCATTGGATTAAGCAAGACATAATAAAGTCATTAGGTCATGAATTAAAACAGACATACCGTGCTACATGCACCCAGGGGCAGAGCATATTTTCTTTCTTTCCATTTATACTGCAAGAAGCAATACAGTCATCATAACACAATCACAGTACACTTAAGGGTTTCTTGAGATTCTACAGGCCTTCTTTGAATTAAGCAGAAAGATTCTTAACATGCCATAACAGAAATTGATGAAATATCGTAAAAAGAATTTTTGACTTTATATGTATTTCTAATTTCATTCGGCATAATAAGCATACCATTCATATAGAGAAACAACATGGAGATTTAATTTCGTGCGTACAAGTCGACTCCTATTTCACAACTGTATCAAATAAACATCCATACTTACCAATGAAAGGAAAAACATGCCACCATAGTTATATGAAAATCTACTCATTTTGTGCACCACCGCCATTAACGAAATATAAAATAAGTGACGATCGGGTAGGCTCTGTGATTGGTTAAAACAAATACGATTCGATAGGTTGCTGAGGCGGCTCTGTCATTTGTTCAGCCGAAGCGATTAGATAGGTTGCTGAGGTGCCCTGTGATTGGTTCAGTTTAGTTCCAGACTATGTAGTTACCATAGTGGATTAGAGATGGCAGCAGTTTGTGTGCGCAGATGACGACTGAGCATGTTTCTACTTCTTTCCTCTTCTATCCCACTTGCAACCCCCCAAACCCTCCACGCGGTGATTATCAGATTAGGTGAGTGACACATGCTAATCACGGTTGACAGATTTTTGCGGTTAAATTTTTGTAATGTATATGAATGAATTTCTGATTAAACAATTTAATAATTTTCAGTAATTCACCAGTAAATGATGCAGGTATATTTTATTATAGATGTTGTATAAGTAATCCGTATGTTGTTAGTGTAACCTGATCAGAAATGTAAGCTTCTTTCGAGAATAATAAATGTACCAAGTTTTGAGCATTTTAAACGAAATTAGTAAAATCAATAGCACGTCTAAAGGACATAAGGAAATATGATTGAATTTTAAAACGTGCCTTTTGTGAACTCAGTGCTAATATTTTTATTTAAATACATCAGGAAGCTCATCGTTTTTCAATCAGACTAATTTGAATTTGATTATTTGTTATACTACTTTCAGCTCAGATCAAGCACATGAGTATTTTGCAACACATTGTATAATATAACCTCTACAAGAGTACTTAGGTTCATGGATGTTCATTAGCCTTTTAAGTGACATTCTCAGCACACTTTGAAACAAAAGTCCAAGTTGGAATTACATAGAGCTGACTCTCAGTAAGTCTGTCTTGATGTTGAGCCCTTCTTTAGGCTTATGATCAGATTTTCAGTCCCTTTAGACATAGTTTTATTATGAATGAGGGCATCCTGTTTTACAAGAGATGGGTCTGTCCAATGTCCAAGCTGTAGTCTTTATCTACTATATATGTTATAATATTTACAGTTTTAAATATATACATTATGTGAAGTAACATATTTTTTTATACAGTTTTACTAAATATATAAGGCTTCTGTCATTACAGTGCTTTATATAGCAGAGTATGCTTTCACTTACATAGCTTATGCTTTATGACAGTTGAAACATGAAGTTCATCTACATAATGCATACACATTCAGTCCCTACCTTAAAGTAAAGATTGATTGTCATTACATGGATCAATTGATTAATGCTGTTTAAAGAAATAATTGTTATTTGTTCTGAAAATGACACAGAACACAAAGGGCCTCGGACATGGATAGCAGTGGAGGACTCTTGTGAACATGGCAGTGAACCTTCAGGTTCCATAAAATGCTGGGAAAATCTTGAGTAGTTACACAACTGAGGGCTTCTCATGAATGGCCTTTCACCATGGAGTTAATTATCACGCAGGACACATAAATGCAATGGCAAAAGTACAGTGTCTTTTAATATTAAAGTAGGTGGTATATATAGCAACTTGTATGCTTTAAAGAGTAAAACATTGCTATTTCCAGAAATTGAAACTTACATGAACTGTTTCTTACTTAATGTTGCTAGAGAAGCTAGAATGGATATCATGTTTGTCGATGTTTGATGTATTGCATATAATTCCAAACTGTGATGTGGATATAATGTTTATCTCTTCATCACAAACATCTTGTCTTCATGTTGTTGTATACCGTTCATTCTGTTGTTCATATATAAGATGTGTCTGACAAATGGAATATATTTTTAGAGAATTTAATATAAGAGAGGGTAAACGTAATCATCCCAGTGGTCTTGAATGTTAATTTCATTTATATAATTAGTGACCTTTTTTATATCACTGATTTTTATTTTTAGCTAAAGTTCCTTCTGTTTGTTTCAAGATCAGAAGGATTCCATGCATAAGAAATGTGTGTGGAACACAAAAGTACACTGTCTGCTTATCTGTCTGAAGCAAATGGCAGTCTTTGACTTACAGTGCCAATTTAGGAAGTCTGTATATTTATAATGTACACTGAAATATATTCATTTTATGATGAAGTTTAATGAAAAGTCAGAATAATGGCAGTTAATGGAATTATATGCAGTAGATATATCCAAATTGGACTATGTCTTTCCTATATAACTAGGCTTATTTCATAGCTATCAGGAGATTCAAGAGTCTACAATATGTAAGTATGTTTTTAATTGTTGGTAGGTCAGAAATGCAATTTATAACTCGTCACCACTTTCAGTATGCTTTTCTTCAGTATTCACTTTCATGTATTCCTGATCCACTTATGTGGTGATGGGAAAATGGATCATTTCTTAAATCAGTGGATTTTATTTTAATAAGAAGATGAATTTAAATTCTCTAAGGACTTGTACCCAGTGCTTGAGGTGGAATGAAAATAGAACCGGGATGCCATCCCGCCGCATCCCACCCCACCTCAAGCCCTGGGTATTGTACATTGCATTTACTGCCAAAGAAGTAACGGGATGCTTTTAAGCCATTTAGAAAAGAACCGGGATACCATCCCGCCGTATCCCGCCCCACCTCAAGCCCTGCTTGTACCAAAATATGTGTATTCATTTAAAAAGCTTCTTGGACTTGAAACTGGCACAACTGGAATAACTGGAAATGAAAATAAAATCTGCTAATGGAATGCATTGACCAGTCTAAGGACTATGCCGTTGTTTTTATGGTTTGGTATGGAATTGGGACAAATTTGTAGTGGATGGGTGAAGTGTTGGGTGGGAGTGTGGTGACTGGTTTATACAGAGCTGGCCAGTCAGTCGGAGAAAAGTAAGTATATAAGATTGCTAGTGAATTATTTCTCTTTTGTAGGTATCCGCCACTGTATTTTAAAGAGACTGACACATATTACAAATGGATGCGAAAGAAATAAAACAGTCTCTTAAAAATGCCCGAGAAGCTATAAAAAACAAAGATTTCAAAACTGCCCTGCAACTATGTAAAGTAAGTATTTTCTGTTGGTGAACAGATACATCAGTCCCTTAGAATGTTAGGTGACTGAGGTAAACTTTAATTTCTGTGAATGTTCTCAGATTCCGAAGGTTTCTAACGATGGGGTGTAACACTCAGAATTACTGAGTTTTCAGAGTGTATCTATCGTCTGGTAGCGGTAGTTACTATGTGTTTTCACAAATTCTCCATTTAATTTTATGCATTTGATGTTCATGGACTTGGTTTGTTGGCTAGGTTTGTAGCATAAATTTCTACCTCCTATATATCCTAGTTCCACAAATGTGCTTGCTTTATCACAATTTTTATTGCATGTTTTCCTGTTATCTTGCTTCGACATAGCCAGGTCTCAGGTATGTAAATAGGTATAGTGAATCTGACATAGGTTGTGCAGTAACTGAGGTTAGCTCTTTGCAAGGAACCCAACAGAGTAGGTGTCTCCCCTCTCATCTGAGGATGGAAACAGATCCAGTTTGTGAAATGTTGCATTTTCTAGTTTTTGTTGGAACACCAGACAATGCACAAAGTCAGAAAACCCAGTGATTCTGAGTAAGTCTCAAATGTACATACTTTTTCTCAAGTGAATAAACCTGGAAGAAGAGGAAGCGGAAGTGTTCTATGAATTTGCTGCAGATCCATGCTTATAAAATATGCTTGTCTGACTACATGTTTGGCCAGTTAAACATAATAAATTAAATATAAGGATCTTTTTGTTGAACAGCCGTATGTGTCCATGTATCAGCCCCGCCCCCCATCATTCAGTTTGGACATCAGCTTTATGGACACTATTTGATTTGAGATAAATTCATTGTCAGAGAAGTCCATCATAATTGGAACCAGTACTGACCCAGCTAAGTTTGATCAACATTAACACAACCAGTTTCCCAGAGGTTCATTTTAATGTTATTTCTGTACCTACGTTTGGTCTTACAAGAAGAATTTCAGTATTCTCCTAAAACTCTTAAGAACTTTTTTCCCTCTTTGTTTATTCTTCAGCAACTGTTGCAACACCTTATTGTAGTTTAATATCCCTCAAAAGGGAATGTAAATGATAAAGTTTGTATAAGCATATATTCCATTAATTTCAAACTTTCTTTCTGGGCATATGTAACATATTTCTTTCACACATTTTCAGGCTGTTCTGAAAAGTGACAGAAATAATTATGCTGGGTTAGTACTCTTTGGCGTGGCACTACAAGACTCAGAGCAGAAGGATCAAGCTCCAAAGGCCTTTAGGAAAGCTGTTGAAGTTTCACCAAACCAAATACTAGCATGGCAAGGGTTGGCTTCTTTTTATGAGAAGGAAAACTCCGAGTCAGATCAGAAGGAGCTTTTTCCAATATATCAGCAGTTGCTTTCACTTGAAAGGTGTGTATATTGTATTAAATCATCTGGACAGGGATGATATCTGCCTCAACTAAACAGTTTGACTTATTAAGTTTGCAAGCATGATGTGTAAAGCTCTGCATGTTGATATTTCGAACATAAAAAAAATGTTTCATGTGAAATAATGTGTAAAATTAAACATGGTAAGATAAAATATAAAAGTTGGATGACTGACAAATTAAACATCACATATTAAACAGTGGTGGCTTAAAAAGAGGACAGCATCATATTTTTCATGCACATAATTAAGTTTTGTAGTGTAACGCTTTCAGTGAGAGCCTCTAAAGATACATTAAAACCAAGCTCTGCAATATTTGTTAATTTGTATTTAAAGTATTGCCCATAACATTCTGCCCTTAATTTTATGAACATTTTACCAGGAAGGTGTGTTATGGGATTTTATTTTGTAACTTTCATATGTGACGTTTGTTTTCTTACAGTGATGAAGCAAAATTTGCAGATATATGCAACAAACTAGCCATGGTGGCGTTGAAAGTGTCCAAGGTTGAACAGTGTGTTGATATTTTAATGGCAGAAATGAAACATGGTTCTCCAGAGAAGCAGAAAGTGGTCAGGAGAACATTGGCTTCTGTGTTAATGCAGGAGAAGGATCTTTCTGCAGAGATGGCAGCAGTGGTGAGCAATATTTTAATGTATAAAATGAATTGTGTGCATTGCTGTTTAGTATTCTCTTTACCCATGTATGTATTATCTTTCATTGTATTGAAGGTTAATAAAACTGCACATTGTCATGTATAAGTGCTTGTAGTTTTCCTGCTGTGAGTGTACTTCAAGAGGAAATTTATAGTGGAAATTCTCACTTGTATCCACTTTGCTATCCTATTGTAGCATAGAATTTTAATGAAGATTAATTTCTTTCAGCTGGAAACATCTTTGGGAATTATTGTGAAAGAATCCTCACCTGAAGACATTGAAGAATATTACAAAAAGTATCTTAGGTTGCTATATAAAAACAAGAAATTGACTTTGCTGTTAGAGGAAGCAAGAAACATGCATTCATTATACCCAAAGTCAGAATTGCCTCTAGAATGGATTTGCAAAGTTTACAGTGAACAGATTGCACAAGGCGTGAAAGTGTTAGATGTATTTGAGGACAACATTGGAGAGTATTACAAGAAACTAGAAGTTCTTAACCCTGAATCAAGCATGGTGTTGCTTGCAAAAGGAGCTGAATTGTTCAAAAATAAAAGCTTTGTAGAAGCTTGTGATGCACTAACACAAGGTACTGTGAGTTGGATTAAGATTTTTTGGTTACACATAAGTGAGGTGCTTTTTTGAGCTGCATCATCCAACCTATTGCCTACAAGCTTCCATCTTGCCCAGGGAGTGAAGTTTTTCACAGTTTTACACTTTCACGACATATAATCAATTTTAGTCTATAATACATCATGTAATTTATCTTGTATGCATCACCTGCAGAATTATTAGCAAATTCATCGAGCTGGTTCTATACGATTCACCCTGTAGTTATCATAGTGCTTTAAAAGGGCCACATTCCAAGGGCAATATGTATGAGAGAGAAAATGCTGTGAGGGAACCAGGGGAAGGTGGAGAGAAATTGAGAGAACCAGAGGGAGGAAACAGTGACTCTTTGAAAGGGCCACTTTTCAAGGGAAGAGTGAATGTGAAAAAAGATAAGACACTTAATTCTCTTGGTTTGCTGAGAGCCCCAGTACAAATTTTTCCATTTCCCCTATCTATACCACTTTTTTCATGCTTGGCTTACCCTTCTGTCAAAACAGCAGTACCTGTAGAATTTGAGGTTGTCACAGCAGCGGTCATGGAGAATACTATCTTCTGGGATATAGCACTGTGTATTCCATGGCAGAACTCTGCTTGCCACCTGCTTACAGTCTGGTTTCTTGCTCAGCTTGTTCTTTGGCCTGAAGATGGAGGTGATATGTTCCTCCAAAAGGCAAGTTGACTTTCAATGGACTACATGGTGTTATATCCCAGAAGGCAGTACTCTTCACGTTTATACCTGTTTATCAGACTGTATTGTGTCACATCCCAGAAGACAGTCACTGCTGTGAGAACCTCATATTTCACCTGTTATGTCTTTCTTTTTAATAATTTAATTACCTACTGTGTTTCTGTTAATTGCAGTTATTGGTGCACTTTCTGAGTCTAGTTATGTTTGGATCCTGCTTTGCCAATGTTATCTCCATACCTACCGTTACAGCAATGCAGAACATTGTGCTAAAGAAGCACTGAAAATTATTGTGAAGGAAACTGTTGATGAAAACCTACAAAACTTGGTGCTTACCTTTCTGGTGAAGTCACTATCATTACAGAACGAAGAAGAAAAGTTAAGGGAAGCTGTGGAAAAATGTACTAAGGTGAAGCAAGAACTTCTGTCTATAATATATATAAAAGCTCTTAGTATCTCCTGTTACCTTCCATTGTATATGTCTGATGGTTGCTAGGAGGCAGTATGCCGTTTAATTCACGAAGCAGTCTGTTTCATATTTATAAACCTCATCACCATGTGGTGTCTTGATATAAATACTGTTTGAGTTCTCATGTTTTCATTTGTATAATTGAAATGCAGTGGTAAGTATTAATAATTTAGTGTTTATTAAAGTGTCCTGGGAGCCATGGTTTTGTCTTATAGAGGATAATTCATGACCTGGTGCCTTAGCTTGAGGAACCATTCCCAGTCAGAATTCCCAGATCCGATTCCCAGCGGTTACAGAGTAATGTATGAAACTTAAGAATGGTGGGGTAATTTCATTTTCACATCAATGTATATGACCTTGAGCTGAATCAGTAGATACTGTGTCATGTTGTGTTTTGTAGCATGCTGTTCATATTGGGTGTGTAATTGTGCCCCTCATGTTTTCAAGTGCTGTGGGTGTGGTGTACTTTTATGCATTTTGAGGTGGGAATACATGTGCTGCTGCTTAACACCAGCAATGATTTACAAATCAGAAATCCTGGATTGAAGAGGATTTAGCAACATCTCCCAGAGAATGAGAGGCAGTGATTCATTTTCAGGCATTTCAGCTTCAACAGAGTATCTGGTACAGTAATATATGGTTGAAGAACATATTATTTTGAATGTGTGAGTCAGGCCAGGTGTTAGTATGTGAAGGAATTCCAGATATCTTTATGTTCCTGAGACTGTAGAGAATGCTAAAGAAGGTAATGTACCCATACTATGCACAGTGCATTCAGCATCTTGGACCTGGGGATCATGCCCCGCAGCTGGAATTTTTGTAATAGACATCTGTACTGATACATTTTATCCTCTGATGAACCTGAATTTACTCTTCATGGGGGTCCAGAACACATGCAACCTATGTCTGTTGTCAGAAGTGAATCTCCATGATACAGTGGAAGCCAACATTAATTCACTGTAAATATGTTTTGTGGTATGCTGCATGATCGCATCCTTCAAAGTACATCTTGTGGATGACAGTTATATATAGATTCTGCAGAATGAACTGTCAGACTTGTTTGAAGATGCACCTTTAAGGAAAACAGCTGTGTATGTATTTTCTTCATGATGGGCACCTCCCCATTTCAGCCATGCAGTGGATACTTATTTCAATCATCACTTCCCTGGTTTATGGATTGGTCTTGGTATTCCATAACACTGGTCATCCAGACCTCCCAACTTCAGCCGCCTAGTTTTTATCTGTGAGGGCACGGGAAAGGTATATTGTACCAGCAAGGAGTGGTACGAGTGGTGTAAGGTGGTATGCGTGACAAAAATGACGGGTTCTAGTTTAGATGATTGAATTTATTAGCACTTTGGTTGCAAATTAATTAATTATATAGTCAGTGCCTCATCTTAAAAAAAATTGTCCGCACTGTATGGAAAGTAAACAACGACTCAATAAAAAGTTGTATATTGTAACACAACAGGATGCATGAAATGAAAATTAGTTCCTCCATTGTTGCATGGGCACATTCCCTAGCAATGGTTCTGGTATTGTTGCATGTTTACGAAGCTGTTATCTAGGAGTGGCTGTTTCTCTGGTCCCTTATTCTACCTGTCTGGCCTCTTGTCAATATTACGGCATGAGAGGTTTGACCATGACTGTCTAAGAGTGTCCCCATCTGTTTTCAGGTAGCGTGGATCAAACTAAATATTAATTATACAACTTATTTCTTATTTATATGTAATATTGTGATGGCTTGCTCAAAACTTTAAGATATGGAACCAGAAAAACTCATGTAACAAGGTCAACAACAGAACATCAGTTACTTAATCATGATAACAGAGGAATTATTGAAGACGTCTCCTGGGCAACAGATACAAAAATGGGCAGTTACATCAGAGACGCAAAAGGAGAACTCTTCAAGGAGGTGATCTCCATACAGTTTGACCAGAAATTCCCTCAGGGAGAGAATTGACCAAAAGAAGACAGAATATGACAGAAAAATACAGAAGGATATAGAAGAGAGACTGGAGGCTAGTGCAGGATCCAGACAACAGTGAGAGATTCATTATCCAGAAGGAGTCAAATGTGTGAACTATTGTAAAAGAGATGCCTAATAAAGCCAATCAATCAGAACTCACAATATCAGTCATGCATACCCCCCTACATGTGACAATATCTATCAGTTTTTCACTGCCAGTGTTCATCACCTTTTTCAGTAGTTTTGTCTCACACCTGGTACTATTAATTAGACACCTTTGCATTGCCAAGTAATTGTGAATGAAGTATTGTTATTATTTTTTTTTTATTTCTAGTGGGGTTGGACTAAGGCCCTTGTACTGCGGCCACTTCTGGCCTGTTGTATCAGTCCCAGATGATAGGTGAGGGTGATTGTGGAGCAATTGGTGGATTGAAGATTGGCAGGGGAAACCAAAGTACTCGGAGAAAACCTGCCCCAGCCCCACTTTGTCCAACACAAATCTCACTTGACCAGATCTGGGATCGAACCCGGGCCACCGCAGTGGGAAGCCAGCGACTAACCGCTTGAGCTATGGCACGGCCCTGTGAATGAAATAAGTTGAAAAGGTTTCTGCAATCTAATTGACTAATAATATACCTGTAAGCACTTCTTGTGTGTTTCAGGTTAGCAATGAATGGGATGAGGGGATTTGAGCGTAGGAGAGTGTGAGGTATAATCTTGTATGGGGTCTGAAATTCTTAAGCTGCACTGAAGCCTTCAGACACATTGCTATGCTCATGGTAAAAGTGAAATTCCCAGTGTAATAATCTTGGTTGTATTTCTTTCTGAAAAACTAATAATTGGCTTCCACTGAAGTCTGGCATAAGGAACCACACTAATGTTATCAGATGAATTAATGTTCATTTGTCTCAGTCCATACTAACATTCAGTTTATAGTAAGCGACATTGTTTTATTGTCTCCATTAGCCCTGCACAAAAGTGTAGGGTGTGGAAATTTAGCCTCAAGCATGTGAGTAATTGTAATCACGTTGTGTACAGTGAGGGTGCAAAAGGTACAGGGCAAATGCAGGAAGACAGTAAAATTCATAAAGAATTGATTTGCTTTGCAGATATTATCCAGAGACCCAATGAATCATGATGTAATGGAATGCATGACCAGAGCTCACATTATGCTTGGAAATGAGGATGAGGTTAAGAAGTGCATGCAAGTTGTTCAGAATGAAAGCAAATCAGCAGTGGCTGTAGCATTACTGTCTGCCCTCTGCTTGAGAAACCAGAATAAACAGAAAGAGGCCATAGAAGAGCTTGATGCTGCAGTTTTGCAAGAACCTAATTCTGCAATGTTATGGTTGGAGCTTGGAAAACTGCACTGGGAAGAAGAAAGATACAGTCTGAGTTTGGCAGCATTATTGAAGGTAGCTGAATAATGAACTGATAGAGCACATCACATTGAGTCTGTATGCAGAGAAGGCAGTACAATTCTTATGCTTAAATTTTCAACATGCGCTTTAGTTTTGCAGTACAGTTATGCATTACTTGCATACCTGGCACTTATATCAATATGAAAATAACTTGAAAACTTTTTTGTCAGGGCACATGGTAGTGTAGTTGGTTGAGGTACTATGATATAAGCCAGAAGGTCGCGGGTTTGATTCAGATGAGGTTATTAGATATTTTAACTGATTCAATCCTTTCGGCTGCACTATGGCCCTGGGGTCAACTCAGCTGTAACAGAAATGAATACCAGGAATCTTCCTGGGGGTAAAGGGCAGCTGGCACATAAGGCTGACAGCTCCAGCGCTTTTAGTGAGCCGATTGTCTAGAAAATGTGGGAGTCTCGACATCTCACAACCCCCAGGGCCTCCACGACCTGTTACAGGGATACTTTTACCTCTGTGTTTTTCATCTTTTTGAAGTTAGGTAAATGAGGATTGCAGTCTTTGTCAGAAATATTACTGTAAATGTGATGAATGTGATTTTTTAATTTGAAAGGAAAACATTTCAACATGTAAATGTGACGCACATAAAAGAATGTGTTTTGTTTGTAAAATTTTAATGTGCTGTCTTCACAGCTGTTCAGGTGTGCCAAGAATTTTGTCATGGAAATGTAAAAGAAGTAAATTTCTTTTAATGGAAAACACTTAGCAGTGAGTGATGTTTAGAATTAACCTAGGATTGCAGCTAATGAAATTTGCTGTATTTGGTTGTTAACATTTTTCCACCATAAATGTAAATGATTCCTCTTGCTACAAGTTGACTGTAAGTTGCCCTCCCACCATCTGCTTTATAGCTATAGATGGTTTGTCTTATGTTGAACTCATCCAATTTCTCAGGATCACTATGCACTTTCTTTTTGCCCCTAGTATGTTGTTCATCATGAAACAGTAGTTAAGTTGTATTATCAGTGGACCAGATATCCATTTTCTTAGTTTGGTGTTGTTATGGTTTCAAACTATGTATTTTAAACATGTGTCTAGCATATGTAAGCACAGAACAAGTCAGTAGGCTCATGAAGTTAAAATGTGGTGTTTTACATTACAGCTGTACAAAAGAGTGCATGATACAGATGAATAAGCCACCTATGTGTCATTTGTTGGACATAAAATGACTTATGTGGAAAGTTTTGCCTGGTAGATGTGAAGTGTCAACACGTACATTGATAGTGATATTATTATGAATATTTAAAATAGCGATATGTTATCATCACTTGATGCTACCATCTTCTTGTGTAATATAACATTAATAGGATTGGGGGTGTTAAAATGTACAGTGTTTTTTTTATCACATAAAAGTACAGGTTCATTTTCATCTAGACTTATGAATGTAGATACATGAAAGAGTTCTTGTCTGTTGCAGGCAACTAAACTGGATCCTCATTGCTACTCTTGTTATGTGTACTTAGGTAATTATTACAATCTTGGTGCTAAAAATTTGGATAAGGCACGACGTTGCTATCAGAAGGCTTTCCGTTTGAATCCATACTGCAAAGAAGCTGGAGCAGCACTCAGTGATATTTACAGACTCCAGAAGAATCCAGTAAGTAGAATAATTGGCTGTTCCTCCTCATAATTATATATTATTATACATTCACCAGTCAATACAGCAGTGCTCTTCTTGACCTGGAAGCACAATATCACAGCCTCAGTCCTCAGTTTGAGCTTCACATCTGACCTTGCACTGTCTGGACCCAGACATGGAAGTTGATGAGCATTTATGTGGACCATTAGTAAATTCATGAAACAATACTAATATCTGATGGTATGCATCCATGATGTCCTTCCAGACCAGTGACACTGGTGTAATAAGCTGCTCCAAGTTCTGCTTTCCTTAAGTGTTCCTTCCGAAGTATGTATTGTGATATGATTGCTGAAGGCCAGAATGATGTAGCCAGAAATGCTAAAAACATGTCTGCAGAAACAGATCTGCACACAACAATGGAAGAACTGTTGAAAGTGGTGTTTTCCATATGGTCCATACTGAGGGTACTTAATGAGGGCATGCAGATGAATTAGTTCAGTCATGAGCTACTTGTGAGCCCATTACCTTCCAGCAAGGACGTGAACTGGAAAGCAGAAGAATCTCAAGTGTTGGGAGCCATTACCAAGTAGTGACCAGTGAAGACTGTAAGAGACTGGGGCTTAGAGTGTGCTGTAGTGATTTCTTAAGTGTGTAGATTGGTGATAACATTATAACCATTTGTAGTTACGAGTGTTTAGTGAATCTAAGGGTCAGCCAGTAAACAAGACTCTCATGCAGGCGCGATGATGTCATACTGAAGTAGTGAGTATGAGTCACGTGACCTCTGAATTTCCACAAGTGATGTCACATATCCCAGCCAAGCCTGTTGCTGCGCAATGCTTGGTAAATACCCCTCCCCACTAGGCTGTGATGTCATGCAACAGTGGAGTCCGTGCAATGACTGTTGCTATGCAGTTGGTCAACATGTTCCAACAATAGGCTGTTTCCTGTGATTAGGGCGGAGGCTATATAACTAGAGTATTCAGCAGAACCATTGTGAGTATTAGTCAGTATTCTGGAGTATTTGAGAGTGGTGGAAGCAAGCAAAGTGGAACCAGGAATACAGAAGGTCACCCTGTGAGGATGTAAAGTGTCACTGTAAGATTTCATGTGCAATATTTGGAGTGATCTGAAGTGACAGTTTCTGTATGAGATCCATTGCTAGGAGACGACTAGTGGAAGACAGAGAGTTCTAGTGCATGTGCAACGGTGAACTAGAGAGTGTGTAAATCAGTAACAGTGTAATACGTAATTGTAGTTACAACTGGTAAGTGGTTAACAAAACCAATTACTGATATAAGCTGCTACTGAAGACGCGGGTTGCATAACCTCATTCCACATCACGTCGCCCAGTAACAGGTTCACGTGTCATGGTATTAACCATAATATTCTTCCTTGTAGGAGGCCAATATTCAGCTTTTGACTTATGTAACCCAGACTGTTGGATGTACTGAAGCTAAGTGGGCGTGGCTACGCCTTGGTCTTCACCACACAGAACAAGGCAATCATCAGGAAGCAATTGATAGTTTGCTTTCCGCTATCAGGGGTGATCCAACTGACAGGTAAAAGTGAACCTGCAGAATAATAATTCTCACTTTTAGCAAACATACAGACTTCCCAGTACAGTCTGTTGGAATAAAAAAGAATTATTACAAATCCAATTTTAAATGTAATTGAAAGAATCTCCTGGTTTTTATTTCAAAGGTGCCAGGTGTTTCCCTTCACTTTAATACAAGTTGTAGAATGATGTTATGTGAATACTGGGGATTCTATATACCTACATTACTGTCGTAACATCCAGTATTTAAAGAGTACAAATTACAGGTGTCAGGAAGCTCTTCTGAATGTAGTGAAATCTGTGTTAATGAATCTCTAGAGAAATGGCTTCTATTTCACTAAATCAAGATTTTCACTAAATGGGAATTATTCAAAATTATATAAAGGAACTGTATATCTTATTGTAAAGCATACTGTACGAGGGGGGACCCAAAAATAACCGGAAACGACCTGTTGCGCGCGCATGCTTTGTAGTTACGAGTTGTGCTGCTAGGTGGTGTTAGCTGGGGGTCTCCCGCGACTGTTAGTGAGCTGGCGTCAGTCTGAGTTAAGTGGTTTGTCTGTAGTGCTCTGTTGTGTGCGTTCCTGTTTCAACCCTTTGGCGATTAGTGAGATGGCCGACCAGAAGGAACAAAGAGTGTGCGTGAAATTGATGAAGATCGTCGAAAGACCATTGACCAACTTTCTGAGGAAACGAACATCTCATGGAGCACGGTCCAGCGAATTTTAACCGAAGGTTTGCACATGAGACGGGTGTCTGCAAAATTTGTTCCTCGCTTGCTCGGAGATGACCAAAGAGAAAACCGCGTGAATGTTTGCCGCGACTTGAAGAGTGAAGCGCAGAACGATCCAGAATTCATCCAGCAATCCGGCAGTCATCAAGCCAGTGGAAAACTCCAACTTCACCACTACCGAAGAAAGCCATCTCACTAATCGCCAAAGGGTTGAAACAGGAACGCACACAACAGAGCACCACAGACAAACCACTTAACTCAGACTGACGCCAGCTCACTAACAGTCGCGGGAGACCCCCAGCTAACACCACCTAGCAGCACAACTCGTAACTACAAAGCATGCGCGTGCAACAGGTCGGTTCTGGTTATTTTTGGGTCCCCCTTCGTATATAATTAGTGCACAGTAATTTTCCTCTGTTTGTAATTAAAGTAACTGTTTTTACATAAATAAATACAGTCGCATAATAATATCAAATTAATTTTAAAATACTTAGTGATGTACAAAATACTGAAGATCTGGTTGTGCAGTTGTCATCTCCTCTGTAAGATTAGGCATTATCAGTGTCAGTATCAACATGTATCAAGTGTGACTGTGTATCTTGTATGTCTTCCCATCGCGAGAAGTCCAAGTATATATACAAAAGTCACAGTGTGAGAACAGTGTACTCTTGACATTTAGATTTTATGACTTGGGAAACTTTACTACTCAGACCTTATTATCATAAGTAATTTCATGTAAGTGCTCATTCCTAGTTTCCTCATGTGAAAATATCTTCTTTGCTTGCTTTTGCATAGAAATTGCCAGACAGAATTTTTGTGTGCTAATTAGGCAGTTGTTTGAATACATGCTCTAATTCCTCATAATATCATCATGTATCATCACTTTTATCTTCAGTTGGAGCATGCACATCAGAACAGTAGCATGTTTGTATTATTTACATTATCATACCACTAACAGACTGTACCTCCTTAACTGCTCTGTAATCCTTTTCTGTATGAAAAGTATGTGCTTACTTGATGGTTAGCATTCCCATTTCCATAAAAAAGAAAAAAAAAAGAAAAATGTAATCAGGATTATGTATTTTAAGGTATGGTGCTGTGTGTGTGTAGATGGGTACTGTCCTTTTGGTGGAACCTGCTGCTGCCATCTGCAAAGCAGAAGAGGAGGAGAAGTAGAGGTAGCAGATTCTATAGAAATATTGCTACCCGTTTACCAAACTACATGTGTCTCATCCCAGATGATCATGATTATAGTACTCTCTTTAGACCTCAGATATTTGTCAGTTGTTCTAATGACATGCTGGTCCTATTTGACCTTCTGTACATCCACAAAATCTAACTTATACTTTATTTTGCTAATTCTCTTTCTGTGTTTTCAGTGAATCTGATGTAAGAGGCATGTGGCATTCCAAACTTAAGCTCTCAGATTCATTTTCTGTTGCTTAGATTTTCCCAGAGAGTGTGTTCAAGTTCAAGATTCTATGTAACATTCCTTTATATACTGGTTTTTTACTCCCCTCCCAACCAAAGCTGGAGGACCACCCCCTGTTGGCTATCCATGACTGCTTATTCATCACGTTAGCAGCTGTCCTTCATGTCTATTTCCTTCATCCACAACCTGAGGATGTGCCATGCTATGGCAAGAAGAGACCCACATAACATGAATACAGCAAAAGATTTACATAAATTGATTTGTGTTTGACTGCAGTCACTGCTGGGAGAGTTTGGCTGATGCATACTATGGTCGAGGAGCATATACATCAGCTCTGAAATCGTACCAGCGTGTTCTAGAATTGGATCCAGATGCAATTTACCCTGCATTCCAAATGGGTACTATCAAACAGGTAAGCATGTCATCATTACTCTGATCACATCTTGTAATAAATAGATGTGATAGAACTTACATACAATGGATCTTTTGTATTCTGCATCTTGTGATATGTACCATGGATTTGGATATACCACAGAGATCATGTCCCCCACTATGATTAGACATGTTTTGTACACATGTTTATGAAAAGTTTTGTTTTCATAAAATGCCTGTAATGCAACATTCGTTGCTGTCTTGTGCAGGAACAGAGGGAACAGTCCATAGTTCACTATGAACAGGTATGTTTCTGGTTTCTCTGACATTGGGGGTTACAATATTGTTGAAACAGCAGACTTTAGGAGCACCACTTTTGGCTTAGACAGGAAGAATTGTATTGCCATGATCCTGTTCCTACTATCTTCTCTAATCATGATGGTTGGAAATCCCACAGATTTGTTTTAGAAGGAAGCTCAGAAAACATTATAATTGAACTGATCATTTATTAGGAAGTGAGCATCGCTACAGTGATAGTTGTTGTGAAATAAACCAAGAATGAAAACAAAGCAATGATGATGATGATGATGATGATGATGATGATGATGATGAGTACCGCAAGAAAAAATCATACACTGTTGTGTAGAATTCCAGAAGTTGCAAGAAAGAAGAAAACAAATTAGTATGTTTGTTTTTAGATATGATGGAAGAGGACTAGACTTTGTAAAAAAAAAACTGGGTTAAGATTAGTGTTTATACAAGTGGTTCATATAAAACCACTGTGAAAGAGTTCTTATGAATGGGATCATTTTGAAAGTTCAAGCATTTTAGTTTAACAGAGTATTCAGTGTGAAGGAGACATTTAAACATGATGAAGAGTGGCCTTGAAGATGGAAGATTTGTCATGGGATATGCCAGTTTCTCATAGGAGGTGAATTTGCATCTAATAACAGTACAGCAGCCGAATCATTTCCTGAAATTGTGGATAAAGTGATTGCAAATAGTGAGGACACTGATGAACAGTTGTACACCTGTGACAAAGTAACACTGTGTTACTTATCACTTTGAAAGAAATCTTTGGATTTTAGAGAAATGACTAGCAAAGCAAATATGAAAACTAACAAAATAAATGTGACTTTGTATGCTGTGTGCCAGTAAGACTAGTGGTCATAAACTGAAACCATTGTACATCAGTGAATGTCAAAGACCTTAGTGTTTCAAGTGCACAAACATGCAGTCTCTACCTGTGATCTACAATAACAGTTCCAGTGTTTGGATGATATGTGATATTTTTTCCTCCTGGTTTGAAAACGAGTTTGTGCCATAAATGAGACACCATTTACATTCTGAGAAACTTGAACTTTGGACTTTGTTACATTTTGATCACTATCCTGCCCATCCTTTTGTTATGTCCTGAAATCAAAAGCTGGAAAGTTGAAAACTGTTTCTGTTTCTGTTATAGAATTCTTGAAGACATTGATGCTAAAGAAAGTTCACTGTTGGTTTAGCTTTGGAGAAAATTACACCAACTGCTGTTTCAAACTGCTGAAAAAGTGTGTTGAAAAAGATAGCTTCATAGCAGATGAAGCAAATTTATTTCCATTTTCAAAACAAGACATGAAGGTTACATGTGATGCAGTCAGTTGTGATTTAGAAGCAGATGACCTGACAGCATGGACTGAGGTAGATGAAGAAACTGTGAAGTAATGGTACCAAAATTGAGTGAAGTGCTAGAAAATATTATGAAGTGCTGACCTAGTTAGAATCACAGACTGACAGTGAACACTTTTGTTTGTTGCTGATTAATATTAGGCAATATATTCTGAACAAATTCAGTCATCAATTCTGACAAACTGCAATGAATCTGCAAATCAGTTTTATTTTTATTGGCAGGGGTGGGGTGGGGGCTTATTTTACCATCCTTTCAGTATCTTAGACTATGTAGCATCAGATGATAGGATGGTAAATAAATTTGGAAGAGTTGGGAAGGAAGCAATTGTGGCCTGAGTGAGATGCTATCCCACCATTTACCTGGAGGAACTGAGGAAAATCACAAGATACCTCAATCAGGATACTCAGTATCCTGGTCGAGACTCAAACTAAGTACCTCCCAAATATAAATTTAGAGTGCAGCTGCCAGACCGTGTTCAGTAAATCAGTTATTGAGTGACACAGACCACATTATGTTGATGTGTAAATTTCAGTCCCATATGTTTGTACATTACCAATTAGGTTTCTGTAGTGGTTCACTATAGATTTGTAATCTGGATGTACCCAATTTGGATCTTGGTCAGGCTACTTCTTATCCTGATTGAATTTCTCTTTCCAGTCTGTCCAAATGTATTCTAGGCTAGCCTCCTGAAATAAGTCATGCCTATCTATTCCCATTTCTCATCATACATTAACATCTTTTCATCTCCTTTGGTGTTGTATAACTTCTGCTGTTAAAGTAGCGCCATGAAGTAATATAATAACCAGTCAGGTGTATGGTAATAACTTGCTAAGAATTTACATATGTTGCAGTCATTTAAATGTTGTTTTAT